TATATATAAGAGACAGAGACAGAGGATGGATCTAGGTCGCAAACAGGAAATGGCTTGCCAGGCATTATACAAGAGCGAGTATACGCGCGCTGCAGTAGTAGAAGTAGTTGTAGTAGCTCGGCGCTTGAGCCCACGCGATATACATATATCGTCGCGCTTCGCCCGCTTTGCCTTCGTATATTACTTAATTGATTAGCGCCGAGGCCGCTGATGCGTTTAATGAGTTGCACCTAGTCTCGCGTGCACCCGTATACACACATTCCGCTGGGATAGAGAGGGAGAGAGAGAGAGCCAGAACGACGCGACACGAGACAGTGGTATATACACCGTACACACACACACATGCGATATTATAGTTCTATTTCCTTCGATTCGAGGCAGTATGCAGCAGCAGCGACAGCATAACATGAATACGCAGCGGTGCGCATTAAGTGCCGTTGCTGTTAGTAGCGGTGACCGCGAGGCGATCACCAATCACAATAGTTTGACCTTAAATGTATGCGTGATGGTTAACGCGGATGGAAAAAGGAAAAAGAGAGGGTGGAAAGGAAAGATGAGATGCGTGTCTCGTGTAATTTTTTTATGAGCGTTGAATTTAAGCTTGCGCTCAAAACGACAACGTTTGAAAAAAAGCTTAAATTTAAAGCCGATTTAATAGTTCTCGAAAAAGCTCTACAGTGAGTTCTATTTTGATGCTTTATAAAGCATACAGTCTTTTGGAGAAATATTCAGTAGAAATTTCGGAAAACGGGATTGAAAATTTGATTTTTTTTTGGCTGGCTTAACAATCTCCTTATGTAAATTTGGACATAAAAATAGAATTACCCGATATCAACATTTAAATATTTTCGTAATGAAAATTATGGTTTAAATACTGATATTTTTGTTTGATTTCTCGAAAAATGTATGAAACTTCAATTAAAATTAATACCGGCCTCAACCGCTAGATGGCCAGTACTCTTGATTTGTATAAATCTGCAAGCGTGAAAGTGAAAATAATTGTATAAGTCGAACATACACGTAATAATTGTACGTTCCTGACACCATCAAATCGGAAGCCAAATCGGCCGTTATCCATTGCTAAGCCATTGGAAACAGCCTACTACAAATAGAATTAATTATATTCTATTCAATTTGAATAATTGATAATTTCAAATAATTATCTAATCGTTCGTGTCTCGAGTAACGTTGAGAGAGCTTTCTTGTCGGAGCGTAAACTTTCTCTTTTGACTTCGCAACTTGTGTGGATTCACGTGCAAAGTCAAATGAAATTTCACATTCGAGTAAATATCAATAGAATCGCAACAATATGATCGATGACCAATTTCTAACCAGCGACTATCATTGCTCTTTTGTTGCAGGACGGTGGCATGGGCGGTGTCGGGGTCCCGTACCAGCGACCGCCGTCGCGTCTCGGTTACGACGACTGCTCGCAACAGCAACAGCAGCAGCAGCCACAAGGAACCCCGTCGTCGCAGCAGCCGAGGCCTCAGTCGAGGGTGGGTTTCGTCACGGATTCCCGTTGCACCAGCAGACTCGGAGGTCTCGGCTACGACGACACGGGTGGCGGTGGCCTCGGCGGCGGCGGTGTTGGTGGTGGCGGCGGCGGTGCCCTCATCACCAGCACCGGCGGCTATCTGCTCGACCAGTCGGACCCGCGCATGTACTGCACGAGCGGCTACTGCATGGGCGACACCATCATGGCGCGCGGACTCTGCGGCGAGGAGCTGGAGCTCGACATGCGCCGACACATACAGGCCTGCGCCTGCACCTGCAACCACATGGGCTACGGCAATTACATGGACTATCAGGTGAGTTGCATGAAATTTGGGAATTCGCTGTCTACAATACGATGATATATGTTATATGATGTATATATGCGATTAATTCTTGGTTGAAGGATGTGATATTGTCAATTTGTACTCTGATAAAATAATCATTTATTTTAATGCAGATTTAATGTTGAGTAACACGTATTGAACTTTATTCAAAGCACTAACTGTGCTCATTTAGACGTTTTGGTTAATGCTGACTTTTTTTTAATCTAGTCTCCACCGCTAGATGGCGAGTACCTTTATGGCAAATCTGCAAGTGCCAAAGTAAAAATAATTGTATAAGTCAAAGCACTGACACTGGTTTAATGGATTTCAAACTTTGTTTGAGACACTAGAGTTTAATAATTCATCTTTAAAGTCAGTATCCACCATTAGATGGCCACATATCTTTATCTGCAAATCTACAAGTGACAAAGTAAAAATATTCGTATAAGTAAAGCACGATTTTGAAAAATCTTTAACGCTCGTAATGTTCTATATGCTTTAACAATTCTAAGTATAGAAAAAATCCCTCCGTCACATTTAAATTATTTACAATGCAAATATTTTTAATAGCGTACTTCATTTCAACGTGAGGTTTGTTTCGATTTCCACGTCCGATAGCGATAAGCATACAAATACTAGAATAGTGTATCAAGTAAATAATAGAAGTGGGTAAGCAAATAATATCCGATTTCCGGATAGAGCTATCTTTGTATTACGTAATAATTGTGTTTATCTTTGCTCGTATTTGCGAATGGTCTATAAATTGATTCATTAATTCGAAATTGTCAGGATTAATGTTTATCCCTTTTTTTGGACAACTTCATATTACGTTCAATTACATCGTTACATAGACTCAATTCACAATTTTTCTTGTTGAAAAGGAAAAAGAGAAAAAGTAACCCACCGAATCTTGGTCGAGTATTTTTCACACCTTTAAACCGTTGTAAATTACGTGCCATTTATGAATTAGCAACGTCCAACCACTTTTGATCTATTCGAGAACGAAAAAAAAGCCCCAATCTTATAAGGAGCGACTTGAAAAATGAAAGGATTAGTCATTGCGAAATACTGCATCGCTGCAGCAGCGAACAACTAAGGAGCAAAATTAGCGCGCATATTTAAAGCATTTTTAGCCTTACACACACACACAGACTCACACAAACTTATACATATATATACTTGGAGCGTGTGTAGCCTAGCAAACGAAGTCGAAAAACAGGAACTCGAAGAGATAATCTCGAGCTCGCGTTCGCTCGCTCGCGCGCGCGCGCGCAAAAAGATTATGCAGCTCCAGCGGTAGAGCACAGTACAGAAATAGAGAGAGAGAGACAGCAACAGCAGAAGCAGCAGCAACGAGGAAGAAAGTAATTTCTCGTGACTGAAAAAGAGAATAGTTATATTCGCCTTAAAGCCCGTAATCTGCGTGCTCGTTGCATGGATCCGCAGCAGTAGCAGCAGCAGCAGTAGCAGTAACTCAGCTATACATATAGACGCATACAGTATAACGTGTATAGTGCACAGAATGCCGTGTGTCTCGTGCGAGTTCACTAACTAGACTCCGGTGTACACATGGGAAAGATAGAGAGGGAGAGAGAAAGCTAGAGCTTGGGTGCGCGCGCGAGCTTGTCTTCTTCAAACATATTTCATTTTTTATATGCATTATGTGCTTGACTTTGAGGCAGCTTAAGAACTTCCCTCGGCTCCGCCTGTACGGAGTTAAAAAGCCAAGAGTGACGACTGTTCCATATACATGGGGAGGGCGCATGCTATACATGCAAAGAGACCGAAAGAGAGAGAGAGAGAGAGCGAGAGAGAGAGGTTGAACATAGACACGGGGCTGGCAAGCGAACGAGTCTATGTATAGATATAAGCTAGCGCGAGAGAAGCTAAGTAAAAAAGCTCGCGATGCGTCTCTGTGTGTGCGCTGCCGCGGTGACACACGGGCGCGCGCGCGGAAAAGCTTCGAGAATCCTATCGCGCGTGCAGTTGCGTCGACGCAGCAGCAGCGGCGCGCGTGACGTACTGATTTCTCCGAGTCGCTGCAGCTAGGCGCGTTTTTTTTTTTTTTTATGTATACGCGTGCTGCTGCGCTTCGCTTCTTCGCGCATGATAACGATTCGAGCAAAAAGTTGAAAACGAAGAAAATTTGTAACTAGATCCTTGTGACTATATCGTAGCATCATGGGGTTAATTTATTTGTTTATTTATTTATGTGTAACATCTTACGGGACGTATGGAATGGGAGCTGGTTCGTGAAAATTGAGCGAGCTCGATACCGAGACACTACTGCTCTAACAGCATGTTAAATTATATTTAGAGTATATTTTGTAACAATTTTTGTATAAAATTATATGAGTTTTTTATTGTTAAATTTTGTTGAATATTTAAAAATTCATTTTGTATTTTAACAAAATTTATCATAAACTAAGGTGTCGATTTTAATAAAGAACTTTTTGATTTTACCAATAGATGGAGTATCGTAAAACTGCTAGTGACCAAAAAGATTTCGTAGAATATAAATGCCAACAATTTTCATTGTTTGCCTTGACCGCGGATATCTGAATACTCTTACCGAAAAATAATGACTCAGTCTTTCTCTCCCTCAATTTTTCGTATTATGACAATTTAGCATTATTGTATATCGTGAAAAAAATAGAAAACGAATAAGAAAAATAATAAAAGAAAGAGAGAGAACGCCCGAAATTTATGTCAGAGAGCAGCAGCTTATAACGTCTTAGCGATTACGATTGAGCACTTACGAGGGCATTATTTCTAGTTTATGATTTTACTGCCACTTACACAAAAGGGTATTTATGAAATTGCGAATTGAAATGGTGGTTTATAGTAGTGGTAGTAGTGCACTCTGCCACGCGCGCGCGCACACCCATTGCAGTTAAATAAACGTTTCGGAAATTATATCACGAGCTCGAGTACGCAATGTCGCGTCTTTATGTCTCGTTTCTATCTTTTTTTTTCTTTTTGCTCTCGGGCTCAATCGAATCTCGATGTTATATATTTTACGAATCGCGTCGAAAGCTTCTCTCGCACGATTCCAAATGATTATTCGGTGTATTCGGTCCTACCATATATTTGTATGAAGAATGTCAAAAAAAGAAAAAAAATTGGGTCAGAAAAGAGCGTCGAGTCAGCCGTGTGTTATTGTTGTTATTGCCTACCTATATTATGTTATTCAAACGAGCAGCTTCTGCTACTGTTGATTGACGATTTCAATAAGATAACTAAGTCAACGACTTATTCTCGTTCTAAGCTCGGGCCTACTCGTATTTCCTATAAACCTCCGGTTCACTCTTCTATATTTTTTGCTCTTAGCGAGGTTCACGCGTTTAATAATCTCTATGTATCTATCGTATATAGAGTAAGTGAATATCGCATCGATCGCAGCAAGTGTGGTTTTCGTTATAGAAAAAACAAACTCAAATTATTAGTGACTGTGCCAGTTTTGCTCGAGTAGGAAAAACGATAGAAATGAAAGCTCTAGATTGGAGGAGCTTGATAAGCATTGCCAGTCGAGCGAGCGAAGAGGAAAAACGGCGATTGCTCCTTGATGGCATATATTGTGTTGTCAAAAATTGGCGGGGCCCATTACCAGATCTTTTAGAGATCTTTCGACCCGAAAAAATCGAGTGTCTTCTCTCGTACGCCGTAACGGACCAAGAGGGCGACGAGAAGGCAAGAATACGATTCATCAAGTTCGTGGTTGACACGGGATACAGAGATCAGCCCAAAATTGGCACAGACGGACAGTATGTGTTGCATCGCACCACACCGATACATCTCGTTTCACGCGTAAAAATCCGCAACTCGTCTGAAATCATTCATTTGCTATTTAAAATCTACGACAGATTTGATTTGAACTATACCGACGAAGGAGGATTGACGCATTTTCACGCGGCTTGCTCTATCCCTATCCCTGATAGACACCAACTCGTCATGAAATTTCTCGAACACAAGCAGAATCCTAATATTATTGTTCAAGGTTATTCGCTGTTTCGATTAGATCTGCACAATGGCTGGCAGTTGGCCCCGGAGCTACTGAAAAGAGGCGCCGATCCTACTTGGGTCGATGCCGATGGATCCACTGCTCTGCACACTATTTGCCGGGATAAACGCGTGGACTTGCTGAAGTTATTCTTCGAGATCGTCGATAAGCACAGAAAGGCAGTGCAGATCAATGTTCGTGACAGCCTAGGTAAAACACCGCTGCACTTGGCTGTGGAGAGCGGCAAGGTGACGACGTTTAAATTACTGCTGACAAGAGGCGCCGATGTGAATTCGGTCAACGAAGAAGGATCGACACTACTGCACTTAATTTGCCAGAGACTCGATAGCTACAAGTTCGTTGAGATATTATTCAAGATCGCCAACGACATCGGGAAGCCAGTGTGGGTCAATATCCAAGATAAGGAGGGTAACACACCCCTGCACGTGGCTATAAGTCACAGAAGCAAGACGACCTCTAAAATACTACTGGTAAACGGCTCCAATCCGAATTTGGCCGATAAGGATGGATGTACTGCTCTGCACCTCATTAGTAGCAACACCAAAACCTGCGATGCGATGAGGCACTTCTTTGAGATCATCGACGACATGCAGCAGACGGTGCAGATCAATGCTCGGGACAACAAAGGCTGGACACCATTGCACGTGGCTGTGCATTCGGGCAGCAGAAGTAAGTTTCAATTGCTGCTGAAAAGAGGTGCTGATCCAAATGTAACCAATCATGATGGACAGACTGCTCTACACTTTGTTTGTCGGAGAGATGACTATGGTTTCATGTGGAATTTCTTCAATATCATCGACGACATGCAGCAGCCAGTGGAGATCGATGCTCGGGACATAATGGGCCAGACTCCGCTGTTATTGGCTTTGTTCAACGCAAATACGAAGATGGCCGAACATCTTCTGTGGGCAGACGCTGATCCGAATTTGGCCGATAACGAGGGATGGACTCCTCTGCACGTTATCTGCATTAAATGCAATAGGTTTTTGAAAAAGTTTTTCAAAATCAATGCAGAGAGACAGAAACCAGTGGAGATCAATGCCACGACCATCGAAGGTAGAACACCATTGAAATTGTTAAGGGATCACATGCCCTCTAACTACAAGGAAGCGTCGCGATATTTGGAGGCACTAGGCGCCGAGCTTGAATAAAAATGAAAGATTGACTGCCAATCTGTGAATTAGCGACGATAAACACATCCGCTTTATTATTTGGTGCTTAGCGTTACTCAAGGTCGCACGTTTTCCAATTTGCTCAAATAAATAAAAAATTGTTTTTATTTCAATTAAATTTCGTGGGAAAATGTTTTTTCTCCTTATTTTTATTATAACCTTTGCAATCTTTTCAATTTTTATTTTCGAAATAGAATGACTTATACGAAAAATTGAAAAAATTTTAACAGCTACAAGATGTGAAACATCTTTGTCAATTAATTAAAGAACATTCAATAATTAAAAAAAAAAAAAAACTACAAAAAATCCAAAAACATGAATCAATAGTCAAAAGAAAAAACCTAACAAAAAACTCAAAAAACAAAAAACCAAACTAGAAACAAAAAAATATCAAGAAACAAGAAAAAAAACTCAGAAAATCCTAACACAAGCATCGATGTTTCACATCTGGTGCATAATGAATGAGCTGTGCTTACTCTTAAATCAGAGTAGTTTCTCGAGCATAATTGCGCCAGATGTGAAACGTCGATGTTGTGTTAGGATTTTTTGAGTTTTTTTCTTGATTTTTTTAGTTTCTAGTTTGATTTTTTGTTTTTTTAGTTTCTACTTGGGTTTTTTGTAGTTTTTCTTAATTATTGAATTTTTTTTAATGATTGAATTTTCTTTAATTAATTGACAAAGATGTTTCACATCTTGCAGCTGTTCATAAATAGCTGATTTTTTTTAAATTTCTTCAATTTTTAATTACTTTTTTGTTTAGATTTTTCATTGGAAATCATGTTTTCAAAGTAAATTTTTATCTAATTATTTATTGATGAATTATAATATAAAATTAGTGCATTGAGCGGTTGTCGCTCAGTATTGATATGACATAAAAAAAATATCGACTTCCTTGAACAAGTCATCGCCGAATCAAAATATCGTCCTAGCATCCATCGGTTATCATTCATTGTATGTTAATAAATAACATGATAAAAATTTCAACTTCCCTTAAGAAGATACACGCTCGTAGACACGTATACATACATGCATTAAGGGCTTATACACACCTTAAAATTACATTAATTTGAAATGCTTGAAAAAAAAGTAGGAAAGATGTTTGGACCTTTGTACAGCTTACTATAAGCTGACTACCTCCAAAATTATCAAAAATTACATAAAAATATTAAATAAAAGTTTTGATAGATAATATAAATATAAAAAGGCTTTATCAATAGTCTTGCCTTTGGTAACGGCCATAGCCAAGGTTCCAACAAACAGATTGGTATGTCACTGGGATCTTAAAAATGATTTCATCTATTGGAATTCTACGCCAAAGGGGGGTATGATTTATTTTTAGAATTTTGACTTGCCTACAAAAACTAGGCTATATAAAAATTAATTTGGGATATGTTAGTGTGATTTCTGGTTGGAAAAACTGTTTGAAAAGTGTAGAATTTTTCCAAATCACCAGATTTTATTTTTACTTTTTTTTTCAAGCATTTTAAATTAATGTAATTTCAAGTTGTGTAAAAGCCCTTAATCAATATCAGATTTGACAACGTGCACGATAGTGCGTAGAGTCTCGCGACTCATACGCATAGCACATACTTATTCTATGGATTATCGATACGCATAAGCAATAGAAAGAAAGATATCTCAACGCAGTCAATCCCGTGAGCTAAGCCGATTGCTGTTGCTTATGTTGTTACGTCAGAGTCAAACGCGCAACTCTTTCACCTCGAAATAGCCACACGACGACGGCGACAGTGGTGGTGAGTCAAGTTCAATGATCTCGTGGCTGCTGCACACTGCACGCGTCATGTATATGCAAGTACCAAGCGCGCGCGCGCGCGAGTCAACGACCTAATGCAAGAGAGCGAGAGAGACTAGATTCTTCTCGCGCTCGAGCTGCGGTGACTGACGTGCTCGAGTTTACTCTCTGTACTTCGCAAAAGAAAAAGTGCAGCTGCCTCAAAGTGTGTGTATCGTCGTCGTCGTCGTACGTATACACGGCCATCCGCACAAAGGTAATCACAAGCGTCTTTCGGACTACCTCTTACATTTATGCAAGCTCGTGAATCGCATTATGGCGTGTACTATATACTTTACGCGTACTGTATACCTTAGCGCCGTGGGTACACGTCTTTATTAACGTTAGGATAGACTCGAAGTCTCTAGGTGTACTGCGAGAAGAAAAAAAAAAACACCGCGCACACATACACACACGCGCCCGCGTACAATAATTACAAAGTACACTCGAAAAGCACACGAGCCGAAAGTGGCGAACGCACATGTATAACTCGGCGACGTCGCAGCGCTTGAAGTTTGAGCGCCGACGAACGACGACAACAACAAGTTTTAGAATGTTGTTTTCCGTATACGTTGTTATTATATATACGCGACGGCAAGTAAATTCCAAGTTGCGAGCGATACTTGGTGAACTCGCGTGTACATATACCTATAAAGAGAGAGAGAGAGACACATTTACACACACGTACGGATACGGGGGCCAAGGAGCGCAGCTGCAGAAAAAATGTCTCGAGTTTTTCATCACGCTTGACGATACGAAGAGAGAGAGAGAGAGAGAGCTGAAAAAAGAAAAATAAATAAAAACATCTTATACTTGCGCGCACACACGTCTTATTTCTTTTGAAAGCTCGCTGCATCGTACTACGTCTGCTGCTGCTACTGCGGCGTTTGTGTGTATATATGTGCGTATGTGCAGGCGTGCGAAAGTAAATCAAAAAGGAAATTTCACCTCTTTCTCTCTCTCCTCCCGACTTTTTATCGCCATCATAAAGCAGTAGGGCAGCAGTGTACAGTAGCAAGCAAGTTCTCGGCCGCCGCCCGCCCCCGAGCGAGCTAGAGCTTTTATTTTCTCTTTTGCTGCTGCTGCTGCTGCTGCGTGGATCGCTGCTGCTCTACTGCGTTCTCTCTCACTCTCTCTCGACTCTTTTTCCCTCTCTCTCTCTCTGTCTTTGCGGTTGCGCTCATCGGCTTTTGGCTGCTGGCTGGTGGTGGTGCAGGGCCCTTTGATGGAAACTGCGTTAAAACCGGTGTACACGCGCCACGCCACGCAACGCCGCGTTTGACCGACCCTAGGCAGCAACAGCAGCAGCAGAAGCTCTCGTTGTGGGTTCAACTCATTGAAATACTTTGTTACAGTGGGCAGCAGCGAGAGAGAGAGAGAACTGTAACGAACTTTTTCCTAAATTGAATTTTTGTTTTGATTTTTTCGGACGCAGCGACACGCGAATCTGCAGGTAAAACGGTTGCACATGGCGCGTTTGCGTGTTTACATCGCGAATATATATATATGCACCGTACGAGGTGTCCCGGGTGTCACGCGTACGTCACGTACTTGTTATTTTTTCACGGTCCATGGGTAAATTGAACGCGTGACATTTGATTAACGCGCTCCCGAGCAAGTGCAGTGCGCATATCATATCCCCGGACTCTCACACATATCATAATAATAATTGACAAAATATAACGATCTCCGTTGCGTGCAGTATCGGAGCGCCGCTGCGCAACAACGAAATTTTTAGAGGATCCTTAATTGTGATCGACTCTCGGTGGAATTCGCGACTGAAAATCGAGTGCCCGAAATCACCGCTAGCTCGCCCCCATATATATGTATCTATGCGGGCCTCGGTATATAATCCTTGGCAAACCTCTTCTAGTTCTAGCTCTGGTTCTCTCTCTCTCTCTCTCTCTCTCTCTCTTCAACTCCCGAGCTGTACATAACTGTGCGCGCGCGCGTCGAGAGCTTGCGCATACCCAAGAACTTTAATTAATCTAGAAGCATTCACGAGTGGCGCGCAAAACCCGCCAGAGAGAGAGAGAGAGAGCTAGATATATATACAGTATTCTAACTGTGGCAGAGAGTCAGCTCTCCGTCCGTCCGTCAGTTCATCGATAGACACCTCTCCAGCTATTATGGCTTCTGCTGCGGCGCTCAAGCCGAAGTATAATTTTTGCCCGATTATTTTTGACGTTCCCACCCCGCCCCCGAAAACACCGTACCCGTGTCCGACGCGTATGCATACAAGCTACGGAGGACTGCGACGAACCGGAAGTAATTTACTCGGAAGGCTTGTCTTTATCGGGCGTTTATTACCGGTCGCCTTTCGCTCTCGTGTTTCCCGAGTCTCGATATATATGTGTATGTGCACAGCACCCGTATTCCGAACGAAGCGTTATATAGTGTTTATACACTCTCTGGCGCGTTGCAGAGATAGAAGCAGTAGCAGCAGCCCGACTGCGACGCGATGAGGTTTATTTATTATTGCCGCCGACGCCGCCGCCGCCGCCGCCATGCCATTCGATGAATTTTCCCTCGGCTTTTGTATAGTATAGTTCCGTGTACGAATCAGCCCCGTACGGATTTTCGCCAGCTCTCTCTATATAAATATACACAAAAGCTCGTTTGCACCTTCGAGCTATTTTTTCGTGCTTGCGCGTTTGTTTATTTTGTGCTGAATAATTTTATAAAATTGATTATTTCATGCTGCATTTAAACGACTCGCGCGGCTGGCGTTGCATTTTATTGCTCTGCACACGTTCGATGTTGAATTTTTTTTTCCCGAATCACTTAAATTTTAGAGTTACATTTTTCTGGGGTGCGGTATTCAACGTAAAAAACACCCCCCGCATACGCCTAGGCAGTCATTGTCGAGCTTTTCTCTGTGTATGATCCACCCCGTCGGATGTGCATCTTCGATGTATTTCTCATTTTGCCGAGGGAAAAATCCATCGTTGATCTGGATTTTCCTTCGACGGTATATATAGGAACTACTGTACGATATAACCCCCCGCTACAATGGGAAAACCTCCCCGCCTCCGAACACGCGAGCGAAATAAAACCTACGTATATGTACGTATTGGACGATGTATAGAGCTTCGCCGCTGCCGTGCATGTACCGCGGAGCCAGCACACGAGCGAGCTTTTGTGGAAGCTGCTCGTCCCAGTGAGTTCACACACACACACACGTATATAAGCGCATACAGGACTTACACTCGTGCACACAGACACACATATACAACGGACTTGTGTGTTAAATCCTGGCCAGTTGCCCAGTTTGCGCGAGGGCTTTCGAA